GTGCCATGTGTAGTAAAGACCCTGGATACCAAATTCATGTTAGAGGTAACTGCTTAGTCATGGGGGAAAAAGTGACCATGTAGCTGGAAAGGCTCTAGTAGAGTGAGCTTCAGGTCAGAAACAATGGAAAAAAGTTAAAGTCAGGGCTTCAGATTAGGCTAAAACATGTAATGCAGACATGAGAAAAGTAATGTTTTTTCAAGGGCTAACATGTATACAGTACTGCACAAAGGAATCAGTCCCCTGGACACATTCAGGAAAATCCTAGTGTTTACAGAGGGGAGAGCTATGACTAAGAAGACAATCATAAACTGAGGAACAGAAAAGTAAATGAAAGGTTTACTTTAACTGAAGGACGTAACAACTGAGAACTTCCCTATAAAACAAAAATGCATTTCGTGGTATGCACCATATGAAGGTGCCTTGCTCTTGCTGTGAAGAGATGATAGTCACTATTACCTTAGCAAGGATATGTTTGTCCTTTATTATGTACTCATAAGTAGTTAAAAGAACATTGAATTTTCCACTTCGAAGCTGTGGAACAAGTGAGCGGCGCATTGCAGGTGTACCCTAAAAGAGAGAAAGAAGTAGTTACTCTTTATTCTGATGAAGAAAAAACATTGGGTTTATGAATTAGCAGACAATGAGCAACCACATGAACTTGTAATCCTACACTACTGTCAGTAATACATTGACGCATTCCAGACTTCTTCAGAGTGCTTTCCCTAAACAGCTGCTAGACTGTAAAGCTGCTTACAGGGGCTATGAAAACATGTAGCTAGTGACCTAGTCCCCTTTGTGTAACAATTACTTATTTTGCTGAAGCAGCAAAGCCTTCCATAAGTGGTAGCTGACTCTATGCCGTTTGCCTCTACTACAGAGGTACTGACTCCATCATGCCACGACTACAGTCCCTACTGACTGCAAGTTGATGGCCTAGTGCCCTTGCGTGTACAGCTTCCCCACACAACACTTCTTTAAGAAAGCTACATTCAAACTGGAAAACAGTAACTGGTCAGACAGGCTGACAGTAAGCACTGAGATTTTTTTGGAAAAGGATCCCATTACCAAATCATTAATAGTATTGACAGTGTCCACAGTGCCAGGCATCTCTTATATTTACTGTCTTAACAAATCACTTGTACAGAAACCTCAGCAAAGAGTGCCTCATGAAACCACAACAGCTAAATTATATTAAATGTGAAGTAGTTACCAGTTGTACTAGTCTCATGAGAAGCCTTGCAATGTAATAATTAGCAATTTTATTCTTCATTCTGTACAGTTGTTTACAGCCTTCTTTTACAGTCTTATACAGTTTATTGCAGTCTTCTTAGTATGATTAACTCTTACTGCTTAGGACCTGATATACATGACAAAACCTGATGAGCAACCTGATTAGAAACGCATGCAGAGACAGAGGAAAAACTGGCTCTAGTCTCACTCCTTCAATTCTTTAATCATATAAAAAGCAAATCAAACCTTGTAAGATATCTTCACCACAGAAGGAGCCCATTTGTCAAATTCGTACGTCCAGTTGGATAAAGTCCTATCATAGAGATAATAAAGAAAAAGTAACGTTTCATGGTTTGCAGGTCAAACTTTATGAATGTTTCCAAGCGGCTGCCAGCTTTCCAACACTTTTTAAGTAATCAACCCTCATAAATAACAGTCTATTTTAAAAATGTACTTTCTATTCTGTAATAAAATACAAGCATCTCAGAGGGAAGCAACCAGAAAAAAATGTGCAAAACACTCCTTCAGCTTATATGCAGGGGCCTCTTTGAAACCAGTAAGAGCAGTATTTTATGTGCACCGTTGTATTCTGGAATGTATTAAGAACGGTAACTTTGAACAAAAAAATAGATTTCTAAATTCTTTTGTACTTCTCATCATTCAAAATGGACACTACAACTCTTCATATACAGCCTCATGAAGCTGACAATAGAGTTTCTCTGTGTCCTACTCCAGCAGAACTACTCATGGTAGTAGTACTCAATGCCACTACGCATATCTGTTTTTGCATGGTGTTTCTGCTGTCTGATCACAACAAATAGGTTTTAATGGTGAAGCTAGTTGCTATCATGAGACAACAGCAAAAAATAACCTTGAGGGTCTTCAGCTGATTGTCTTTTTTTTTTTTCCCTTCTTACTGGACCTGTGATAGTGCCAATACTAGCTATTTAGAAAAGGCAGAGAAAGGCAGCTTTTAAAATACATTCAAGAAGGAAATTTCATCTCCTTTAGAAACGTAACAAAATTCATTACAGAGTACTTAAAAAAAACTTGTTTAATGTGCCCATGTGAAAACTGACATTAATAATATTCTCCCTTCATTTTAAAATTTGTTTTACTTTCTAGGTCTTCTCCCAGACATTTGTTTTCACATTAGGGCTCATCATTTGTATTCATACAATTAGGCACAAGTACAGCATTTGTCTTAGTCAATCAGTTACTACTGCAGCACAGCCAGAAGACAGGACACCTCCGAAGAAATCAAGAACAGACCACGAACCAAATTTATCCTTACCCTACAAAACATTTGCGTGCTCAGCACAATGGGTGGACAAAATAGCTAACAAAAAAGCCACGGAACTTCTGCACATCAATGACAGCACACACAAAGATAAGCAAACAGCCCCTCAATATCCTACATGAGTTCTACAATGCTTGACATTTTTTATTCAGATCACTAAAACCCCATGCCTCACCTCTGGAGAAAGGAAAATACATGAAAAGAAATGTACAAACAAGCAGTATCTTGAAAAGCTAAGGAGAAGTAAAAAGGAGGCAGCACAATAAACAACCATAATCTGGACACCTCACGAAAGTGTGAGTATCACTCATCAAGGCTACATATATCCTGGGCTAATTATATGGTACTTAGGAGAACAACTTCATTAAAGCATGCTTAAGTGGCATCAGATGAGGTGCCAGCTGTTTAAAGAATTAAGCAACAGACTTTTAATACCAGAGTTAAATGCTGAATGGAGAACTGCACACATGTAATAGGAAGGCAGACCATACCCCTCTTCTGGCCTTAAGAGTCAATCACTACCCGTTCATTTTTTGCCAGAATGAGTAGTAGCAAGTACTGTATCAGCTTTCTAGTCACCCTTGCAACGCCAATTACCCAGAAGGAATGATCAAAGAAAACACTTAATACATACTCAGTGCAATTTTACCCTGCACCTCATCTCATCAGTCTAAGTGTGTATGTGCACACACTCCAAATCAACCAACTCGCAATGCTTAGAATGATAATGCTAGAAAGAGATCCGTTACTTACGACAGGGGAACAATGATGAGATAGGGGCCATTGAGTCTTTTGTGCTCCATCAGGTAAGTGATGAGTGCAATAGTCTGTATTGTCTTTCCCAGTCCCATTTCATCAGCTAAAATTCCATTCAGATTGTTATTATAGAGTGAAACCATCCATTCCAGTCCCTGGAGCTGAAATGAAGAATAATAGTTTCAGTTATTTAAAGCCCACACAAATAATTAACATCAGCAGTACAGAACCAACATTCTAATGTCCCTGTCTACTTTGTCTACATGTTGGAATTCCTTTAGTCATACTATATGTATGGGGACTTCTGTCTATCTTAACAGGGAAATCATCACCCCTGTTTAGCACAGTCTGTAAGATGAAATTGGCTTTCACACAGGGAGGTTTTAGTACTGCACACAAAGCAACACAGGTACTGTGTATGTAACGCTGATAACCACCACTGTAAAGAGTTTGTTCCTCAGTTTCAACACTGTCAAATGCTAGAACACTCTGTGTATATTTCATGTCATTTGCCTATGTCAATTAAAATCTTTCAAAACCAAACCCACCAAGTGCATGCAAAACATGTAAACCTCACACTTGCCAACTGCATCACTGGTATGCTAAAGCTTTTGTAGCACATGTCCATTTAGTGTCTGCGGTCCAAGTCTCCACATGTCAGAGGAGGCCACCTTTGCCCAAATAAGGCCTGTATATAAAATTCCAGAGCTGGAAGGAAGTCAAAGTACTGTAGCTTAGAAATGCCCACATAACAGAATTTCACACCCCAAGGAGCACTGCCTGAAAGCACTATACCCTTTCACAACACTTCCACATATATGTACATCACCATTAGTGATGCATGGGCAAACTAAGCTTCTAAGTTCCAGACTTCTGGTGTGTCTCATGCATGGAGAGTGTAAGAAGTTAGATGGCCTGAGAAAGTTCAGAGAGAAAATTCTATGTGCTTGAAGCAACCTCCTGTCATCCCTTCAAGACAGTATCCAAAATAATGTTGCCAATTTACTGGCTTTACACACATGTTATCTGAAGCTGTCTTGCCTGCATCATTACTCTTTATTTTATGCAGAAGTAGAAAAAATGTTCTGACCAAAGAAAATATGGAGTTCCCTAGAATGATGTACAATACCAGAAGTGTTGAAAACATGTATGAAGGACATTTTCAGTCATATGTGAATCTAGCTTATGTCAGAATACAGCAGCTCCCAGACAACCTGTGAAAGTCTGTGTGAGACTGAATATGAGACATCCACCTTCACAGTAAACTATTTTTCTTATTTCCAAATTGTATATATGACTGCACTGAAATACTAGGCTGTTAATTAGAAAAAAATAAATCCTAAACTTTAAAATACTGGAAGAAGAAAAACATTGTTAACCCACCACAAATTAAAACAATAGGAACTGAAATTCCAATGATAAAGATAGCAAAATCAAAATACTATTCATCTGCAATGAAAAAAAGGAAACATGAAGGAAGTTGGTATTATTTTTCAAGCAGTATGTATGAAACATTATCAGTGCTCAGTAACTGCCATTGAGTTGTCCATATTCCCAAATTCTAACCTACTAGAGACCTTGTATTTCTTAACAAATTTTCAGCTTGCCACTTGAAATAACACACAGAAATGTTGGGTGTAATTCCAAGCTTTAAAAATTTTAATGTTTTGATGATTTCTTACCTGATAATGTTTTAGTGTGCCATTAATAAGAAGAGAAGACTGCTTTTCCACCCTTTCTGTGATTGCATGAGCAACAGTGTAGTAGGACTGAGAACCTCTAGCACTATATTGCATGCTATATTCATCATCCACATCTTGTTTGGCTGTCCTGGAAAGCAGAAAACAAACTTGACTGAATTCTCACAAACATTTTTTTGAGCACAGCTTACATATGTATGTCTAAAGTAACAGTGCAACCCCTCAATTATGGTAAGAACACCAAAGGGTGCAAGATTCTTTATAAACGGTACACCCATAAATGATCATGTTCCTTTTCCTGCAGATACTCATGCCACAGAAGTTACTACAACTCACTGTAATCGAGAGCAAGTTACTCTCAGGAGACACTACTGTAAGAAATCACAATTCCTAACAAAAAACCAGCACCTAAGGAATACTCACTCAATGATTTGCTTTGCATCTTTCTCAGAAACTTCCTCACTGTTAGGATCTAGGAGTATCTTTTCTTCTGCTTCTAATCTGCTTGATTCTTCCTCCTCATCCTACAGAATACAGAAAAAGAACAGATGCTGAGAAGCTGAACATGTTCCTCAGCCATACTTTCCTCTGGCATTCACATACTGGCAGCTTTCACTGATCAATGATTTATGACAGACATCCAAATCACGAGTTCAACTTACACCTATTCTGCAACAAAACTGCACTGCAGCATAGTAAGAAGATAATTTTTGACATACATCAATCAACAGGAAATCATGATACTTAGAAACTAAAAGTACTTCCTCCTTTAATGATCTTACTTTTAGAAGGCTTTCTCTGACTACCATGTTCATGGAGAGGATTCCTGCGCCACATTTATATCATATTCTAGATGTTGATAAATCAATAAAGCCTAAAAACATGCCAAGAACTGCAGCTTTAAGGTTCTAGTTTCTTAACTTTTTTAGACCAGTTATTTTTACTCTTTTTAAAATAACCTGTCTTTTGGCTACTGTTGTAATAGATAGGCAACAACTTAAAATCTCACTGATGAAGTGAGATTTTAAAATCTGCCAGGTATCAGGCCCTCCTCTCCTATCTGAACACTGAAAATCATGTAGAATTACAGTAGTAGAAATTAGCCCTACAAAGGCACGTACTGTAACATCATACAATCCAGTCAGTTTCACCGATTGGTTGGTCTAATACTGTAAAGACTGCTAAAATTATAAGATCTGAACACTAAACCCAGTTCTGATACTAGGCTGCTGTCTGAACATGGTCCTCTGCTACTCCTCACTTCTCTTTAGAGAGTACTTATCTGAAAAATGCTATGCAAGTATCAGTATTCATTACTCAGAGTACCTAATATTATGACCCTGCAAGGCTGTGATCTTTGTGCATGTCAATCTAAAAAATTTTTTAGAATTTTTGTAATAAGAGTAATAATAGTATTCAAATCATCATTAAAGCTCTGAATCAAATAAGCAGCCCGAATACAACCATGTGGCACAGTCCCTAACATATAGTATTAGAATTGCCTAAAAAACCTCCAATCATGAACATTAAAGATGCTAACTTCCTTCAGCACAAGGTCACAATGCAGTCTTTTCTGAGATGCAGTTTAAAATACCAATCTGCTTAATTCTCTGGGTGACGATTATTAATAGTCAGAGCAAAATAATTTTCTTAATCACAATTACCAGTTAGGCATATACAGCATATATAAACAACAACTGCTATGAATGAATAATTACAAAATCCATTACTTTTCCTGTCTGTGTTAGTCTAAAGCACCTACACACCTGCTATCACTTCCCCTTCCTTCCTGAAGAAAAGGGAAAATATCACATGAAGTAAGTACTTGCCTTTTACCGTATCATTTGTCATAGCATTTTTCTTGAAGTTACATACCTCCTCCTCATATTCAGAGCCACTTTCGTCTTCACTGTCAGATCTGGGAGCAACTTCATAGCTGCACAAAGACGACAAAGACTATGAATTACAGTTAACAAGAGGAGGGATTAGGTTCAGTGTATCTCCTACTCAGCTTACATATAATAAATTACAAGAAGAACAGAATAGGTAAAAAAGCGTAACATGAAAAATTTCACAGCAAATAGAAAAAATCCAGCCTACTTTGTATGCCAACTACTTACCCAGGGTTCATTTCCAGCCAAGCATCCAGCTGACTTGCTTTTGGTGCTTCTGGTCCAAGAAGAACTTTGCCTGTTTCTGTGTGAGTCACTTTGACCGGCAGGTCACTCATCTGACTGCTCTCATCTATGGGCTAAACATTCAAATGAAATTTTACACCATAAGGCAACTGAACTTTATGTTTGTCTTACATAATAAAAAGAACTAATAGCACCTTCAAAATTCCAGATCTGAACAAGGAGAGGTTTAGTTACTAAAACCCACAGTTCTGAGCATCTATAAATACGCTGACCGACGGAGTATAAAACAGTCCACTTCCATAAATACTGAAGTTACAGCAATGTTATGTGCATTTTCCCTGTCAGTGTATTATTTTCCTAATAACTCTTTAGCTACATTAGCAGAAGTATCACAAGTGTAAGAAAGTCCAGAAGTAAAACAGCAAATACAATTCTAGAGCCCTTACAGGAAAATAAAATGGAATAGAAAAATTGCACTAACAGAACAACTCTTAATGAGGCATCATATGCTCTGCTACTGGATGAAAAATATAATTCAAAGAATGGCACAGAAGAGTAATTCATTTCCATTTGCTTCATAGGAAGAAAGAACTTTCAGATGTCTTAATCCATTATAACACTATAGCCCGCCCTGTGACTGAAAGGTAATTACACGCAATGTCAACAATGTATTTTTATAAAGATGAGAAGATACACTATACAGTGTTTACAAGCTCATATTAGAAAGTAAATTCTCTACACAAAAACTGCAAGAAGACTTGTTTTTAAGTGTATTACAAAGCTAAGAAGGATCTTCAGCATACTCAGTGATAGACTCAATCTACTTTTTCTTTTAGTCTTCAACTTTCTGAATAGTGGCAGGCTGGCAAGAATGTTAATCTAGGTAATTTTTTTCCCAGTATGAACAACAGCTCTTTGAACATTTGTGGTTATGATTCTTTCTTCAGTTAGAGCTGTAACACACAGAACAATCACCGGAAAGGTTTTACAAAAACAAAAAAAACCCAACGAAAAACCACCTTGCAAAATTCATACCTCTCCATCCGGACCAAGACCAGATGCCATTCCTTCTGCATTTTCTTCAGCCTTCTACAACAAATGAGGATGTGCAAAGATTACAAGTACAGAAAGAACACTTTATATGTTGTGGGCATTTTGGATCATGAGTATGTTTCATTTATTTCTGAACAGCCTGTGATTCGTGTCATTAAAGGTGAGGGTGGAAATACATAGAGATAGGCACAGAGTTACTACCACACATAAAACATTTACTTGTATTAATAAGGTATCTACACACCTC